GGCCCAGCCGCAGCCCCAGGAACACTGGAGGATTCACTGGGTAGTTCCCCTGGCCCTTCAACCCCTGTGAGATCAGACTCCAGCCCAGCATTGCCAGGAGGTGCAGAACCAGGCAGGGACACTGGTCCCAGTGCTGAGGCTGCTCCTGATCCTGTTCCATGCCCAAGAGCTGAGTCAGGGGACAGTTCATCATTTGTCAAAGCTCCTGTTCCTCCAGCTGGCAGCTTTCCAGCATTAGCAGGGTCCTGCTGGGTGTTGAGGCCTGAAGGATCTGTGTCACTCTGAGTATCTTCAAAGGTACTGCCATCCTCTGGACCTCCTGCCTGTGCCATGTTCCCTGTACCCTCACGCCCCTGAGCTGAGACCCCTGCAGTGGGCCATGCCAGTCCTTCAGGTATAGAAGATGTTGGGTTGGCATCACCCAAAGCTGAATTCGAGCCAGCACCAGGTTCATCAGCAACCTGGGGAGTACCAGCTGCAGTCCCCTGTGGCTGTGACCCTCCGAGTGATGGAGACATGACTTCTTCTGGGTCAGCACCAACACCAGGGCTCACTGGTCTCTCTATCTCATCGTCACCTGCAGGCCCAGTGCCAGCCCCAGCCCCTAGGGGTGGGTAAGCAGTTCCAGGAGCACTGGAGCTGTCTGCGAAGGATGGCAAGTCAGCAGCAAGTGGTGGTGGCTGCTCTCCAGTGGCCAGGGCTGGGGAATTCGTGTCACCATGCGCATCGGTGGGAATCCTGGGTCCCAGCAGGAAGGTGGCTGTGTTCCCTGTCACTGCGGGTGCCTCACTGCCTGCAAGCACTGCGGCTGAACCAAGAGTGTCCGATGACTTGCCAGGACCTCCCTGCCCATCCCCATCCCTGTCCCCACTGCCGGCCAGACCCAGTGCTGCCTGGTCAGGGAGGACGGAGGGCTCCCCTGGATTTTCCACTGTTCCCAGCACTGTCATGCTCTCTGGAGGCAGGTGGGATGAGTCAGCTGTGCTGGGTTCACCATTTATTGCATCTTCTGCATCTCCAGGCACTGAAGGCAAGACACCTTCCTCGGCCTCCAACGCTTTTTCTCCCACTGGCTCTGGGGTGATGCTCATGGTCTCACTCATTACCCCATCCTGCTGGGTTGTGAGCAGCACCCCAGCTCCAGGGTTGGGGCTCAAGGAGTTGGCACTGGCTTCGCTTTGGATATCCACAGGCAGTGTCCTGCCTTCCTCTGCTGCTCCCATGGCTGTAGCCAGCCCTTGGCTCTGCAGCACGGTGACACCAGCACCCACGGGGCTGTCAGCAGTTGGCTGTACCACCCAGGTGGCTGCTGGTGGGGGGGTGGTAGGGAGGGGCACAGCACCAGCAGCAGGGTCTAGATCTTGTGTTCCTTCTCTGGTCACGGCTGCAAGGACATCTTCCTTCACATCTGCAAAGAGAGGGGTGGTGCCCAGGGGTGCACCAGGAGTGGCCTCTGTTAAGCTGAGGGCCACCTCTGGGGTGACAGCAGGGAGCTGTGCCAAGATGGCAGCAGCAGTCACGGCTCTCCCGTTATCCTGAGATGCGTTAAGATGCTTGGTCACGTTTGTTGAAGTTGGTGCTGTAGGGCCATAGCCACTTGCCCCTGGCACCAAAGCTCCTGGGTCAGCCCCAGGAGGGAAGGATGGGCTGGCCGGGCTTCCTGCCAGGATGCTCTCGGTTGTGTCAGCATTGGCCATCAGGGTGTTTGTCTCAGCAGTGCCCAACACCTGGGAATAGGGCCCTTCCGTCTCCAGCACATCAGGATAAGCTGTCCCCGTGGCAAACGGCTCCTCGGTAGTGACAGGGACAGCAGTGGCAGCCCTGAGCCCTGCAGAGGAGCACAAAGCAGAGCGTTACACTGGATACCAGAGCAGGCTCAGCCGCACATCTCATCTGTCTGAGCATCAGGAAGCTCCCCCCTCTTCCTAAACCCTACGGCTTCATCCTGCAGCCTTACAAGGCTCTGACTTAAGACTGGAGGAGCAGTCTGGGGGGCCCTTAGGCACAGCACCACACAGCACCTTTTTGCAGCCTCAGTATCAGCAGCTGCTGGCTGAGACAGGACACAGCTCCTCACACGTCAGGGAGAGGTGCAAGCGCAGCAGCAGAAGCAGCCGCTGTGACCCAGCCCAGCTGCTCTGAGGATGGTGCTTCCTGGGCACTGACAGAGCTGGAGCCCAACAAACCCAGTGCATCACCCCAGGGCTGTCTGTTGAGCTCTGCCACTCCAGGACAGCCTCAGCCCTCTTCTCCTCCCTGCAGGGAAAGCCCTGAGCACAGTCACTTCAGCAGAGCTCAGGGTGTTCTTGCATTTTTTCACTTTCGGGTGTCTGACAGACATTTAAATACACTTTACCCTAGATGCTTTGGCAGATAGGACATCCAGGGCTTAGTGAAACATTACCTGTCTGCACATGGCTCCTGACCCGTGGCAGTTAAAGCAGGGTCATTAAATCTCGCCTGAGGCCAGATCCTGCCTGCTCCTGTCCCACTTGCTGCCAGCTGACTGCAGGCACCAGGGGTTCCCTGCCCATTTCCAGCAGCTCCCAGGACCAAGCCCTAGTTACAGCTCCCTCCGCCCGCCCCACATCCAGGAGCTTCACTGAAAGAGAATGGAGACACACACCACCCCACATCCCAAGTGTTTCTCCCACCACCCCCTGGCACCCCTGGGATATTTCACTCAGCTTTATATTTAGGCCAGGGATGTGGGCTTTGGGGAGGCCAAGCTGCCGCCGTTGGCTCCGGGAGGCGCCGGGCGGATCTGCTGACTCTGGCTTTAGGCGGCTGCAATTAGGGGAGACGAAGGGCACCCCAAGGCTGAGACCCAGCAGGGTTTTGCCGCAGCCTGACAGCCCAAGCCTGTTCCCCCACCTGGTGCTCTGGTTCATCAGGTTTCCCCTGCCAGGCAGCCAGACCCCCCTGCAGCAGAGGTGCCTCCAACCTCACCCCCAGCTCAGCTCATTAGTTTGAAGGTAGCTTGTGCCAGAGTCATTAATGAACATTATCTCCTATGCCAGACCAGTCCTCCAGGGGTCCATCCTCCCCCAGTCCCCTGTTCCCCCTTCCAGCAGGCTGCTTCGTCCCTGCTTTCCCCAGCTGAAATAAGCTCTTTGCACAAACCCCCCTCAGCCAGAGAAGCTCAGATGCTTCCCTCCTCATCTCAGGGAAAAGAAAGCACATCAGGCAAGTCCCCCCAGGTTACTTTGGCACACTCCACCCCAGTAAATCCGTGTTTTATCTTATTTCTTCCACACAGAG